CTCTTCCGAAGACAGGGACGACCTTGGGGCCTGTTTCGCTATTCTGGAGAAAGACTCCCGATATTCACGGGGTGGGGGTGGGGGGTGCCGAGAGCGGGAAAGCTAGGCGGAGTGTGATTGGAGTAACTGAAAGGGGGGGGCTTGTTTGAACTGTCTATATAAGAACATCAGAGACGCCAATGTTGGATCAGGCCAAAGGCCCATCCAGTCCAACACTCTGTATCACACCGTGGCCAGAAATACCAGGGGCCACCAGTGGGGCCAGGACACGAGAAGCTCTCCCACTGTTGACCCCTCCCCAAGCACCAAGATGACAGAGCATCACTTGCCCCAGACTGAGAGTTCCTATCTATACCTTGTGGCTAATAGCCACTGATGGACCTCTGCTCCATATGCTTATCTAATTCCCTTTTGAAGCATGTGGATATCTGTGGATTCTCCCACCAGAACCTCAGTTCTGACACAGAACTGGTCTGGCCTGGAACATGATTATTTCTCGATAAACAAATCACTGCCAGAGAGTGTTGCTGAGAGTGACTTTGTCCAGGAGTCTGACATCGTGTCAGAACTCCCTCTCTTCAACCCTCAACCATGAGTGTGGTGGCAGACGAAGGTGAAGAGACAGGGATGGGAACTGGTACCCAAGCCGTGATCCTGGCTCCTGACAGCAAGAAGCAGAAAGGAGGTGGAGTGGGGCCCATGAAGCTGAAGAAGAGCACGGTGGCCCAGGAGAAGGGCGCCAGGCTGAAGGACACCCACCCAAATCAAGGGCAGTGGGAAGAACCGGCCTGGTTATGCACCCCAGGGTACCATGGGGTAAAGAGTCGGTCGGATGTGGAATAGAGGCAAACCTCCAGGGTATTCCATGACGACCCAGAACACGTGTGAGTGGCCAGAGTGCTTGGCGAAGAGGCAAGCATGGACTGGGTCCAGGCTGAGCTCTGAGGGGAAATGGAGGAGCTCAAGAAAGGCCTCCAAATGCTCATTGAGACCCTCCTGGGGGTCATCTGCGAGCTCAGGCAGCAGGAGGAGGGCGAAGAAGAACCCGAAGAAGAGAAGAGGAGAGACTGGGCCCTGGGCAGGTGCCCCCCCTCCTCCCATGCCGGTGCCCCCGCAAGCCCCAGTGCCGGGATTGGAGCAACCCATGGATGCACTACAGGTGACTTTGGATGGCACGCCGGAAAACTTGGCACTCTTCGCCATCCAGGTGCGGACGTTCCTGAGGGAATGGAGCCATACCTTCACGTCAGAGGAACAACGTGTGGACTACTTGGGGTCTCGGCTGTGAGATCGCGCAGCAGACTGGTTCGTGGAGCTGTACAACATGGGGGGTGTAGAGCTCCAGGATGTTGATAAATTCATGCAAGCCTTATGCTGGCAGTACAAAGACCCATTGGAACTGGAGAAGGCAAGAGCCTGACTTCAGGAGCTAAGGCAGGGGTCTCACTTGGTCTGGGAGTTCTCCGACGAGTTCAAGACGTTTGCTGCGAAACTACAGGGGTGGCCCGAAGAAGTGTTCATTGAGTTCCATCGTGCCTGCCTCAACCCCACCATCTTGTTGTTGTTGTTGTTGTTCAGTCGCACAGTCGAGTCCGACTCTTCGCGACCCCATGGACCAGCTCCCGCCAGGCCCTCCTGTCTTCCGCCGTCCTCTGAAGTTGGCTCAATTTTATGTTCGTTGCGTCGATGACACTGTCCAACCATCTCATCCTAAGGTGGCAGGAGTAGACTTAACAGACGACTGCTTCTTAAATGGACAGTTCTATGTGGCCTGCTCCAGAGTGAGCTCACCAAGCAGCCTGGTGATCCTAGCACCTGAGGGCAGAACCACAGAGAGGTCCTTCAGTAGAGAGAGAGAAAGTACGCATGTCTCACTTCATTTTTTACACTACAATCTCCATTAGAATTCCTACAACCTATGTTACATTTCAAACTTCACATCATCAGTATTATAACTTAATTTATGGAACTTAAATACCGTAGCGAAGCACAGGTATCAGGCTAGTCCTGGATAAAGCCCTAGTCCTGGATAAACCCCTGAGGCTGAATGGCTGGGTGCAGGTGGAGTGTGGAGCCGAAAACAGGTGCAACCTGATGCGGATGTACCATCCAAAGACCCC